TATCTGATGTTGAGATTCATTTTACTGTTCAAATACAAGCTTAAGTAAAGCTTTGGAGGTTAAAAGCTTAATGTTTATCCCTAAAGTCCAAATCTATTTTTCAGCCAGCTGGATCGGTCGGTCGAGGGTCGGTCGGTCGGTCGAGGGTCGGTCGGTCGGTTCACCACTTTGGTCCAGACTGAATTATCTCAACAACTACCGGATGAATTGCCATGAAATTAGCTGATCCTCTGACGTTTATCAGGGACAAATTCCAATTTGTCCAATACCTTGCTTTATGAGCAAATGCCTTTGAAACTAATGATATTTCCATCAGCCTCATAAGCAAATGTTACCATGTTAACAAGATGGTGAGACATTATACCTGCTTATTGGCATGTTAGCACTGTCATTGAGAGCATGTAGCTAAAAGCACTGCTGTGCCTATACAACCTCACAGAGCTGCTAGCTGTGGACCAATATTTCATGATTTATTTATTTTTAAATCTCCCTTTATCTATATCTTAAACCCATCTCATCAGTCCTGTCACCAACCTTCTGTCAGCTTAGTTCAGGTGAATGAAAGCTCCACGATTTGTTTTCCGGTGTCCTTGCTATCATCCACTCATTAAAGTTTGCAAGGTATAGACACCTGAAAACATTAACACTTTTAAAAGAAATCTATAATCCTTATTTGTATTATCTTTTTTAAAGTAACTGTCATATTTCAGTTCTGACTTTGTCATTTGATGTATTTTTGGCTCAACAGTTTTTTTTAACGTTTTTCTGTTAATCCTGTCAGTTTAGCAGGCATAGTCGTGTTACAGCTACGGAAAGCTCTCCTCAAAAAGAGCCATGGGAACAGGGAGAAATGGGAGGGTAGAAGAGGTTTTGGGTCATCTATTCTGGAGGAAGCAAGCTAAATCAGGGCATGACGACTGTATGGTTAACCTACTTCGATTTATCTCCTTGTTTCCAGATTTTTCTCAAGCAACGTTTCTCTCCTTTTTGTTCTGTGTAGGAAACTGGAGGCGGCAAATGCAGGTTACTACACAAATTACAAAATCGCCATCCGTGTGGAATAAAGGATAAGACTTTATTAATAAAAGGGTAAAAAAAAAAGAGGAACACCACAAACTAGTTGTAGTAGCAACTAAAAGCTTCAGAGATGTAGTATTTATTAGTGCCTCCATAATAAAAACACGTGCTCTCAGTTGTTTGTTTGGGAGAAATGCACTTGTGATTTTCGTGACTTATTGTTTCTATGGAGGCTGATGTAATTACTTTACGCACCTGCTAAATCAGTGCAATGCAATATTTTGTTAATTTATAGTTGGGTCACAAAAAAAAGAACCAGCCATCTTTATTGTCCCCTGGCAAATCTGTAAAAGTATCACAGAGATAGAGCTGTTGCATTACTGGTAAAAGCAAAAAGTGCTGTTATTCGCTGTGGTGAAGACATCAGCTGAATCATTCTGTTGCTTCTCGAGACACTAAGTGAGCAATTTGTATTGAGAAGCTGTCCTCACTGGGATACAAATGATTCACAACATGCAGAATCAAGGTGGTACAAGTTTTATAATGGTGCATCTTTGCAGTCAGCTGGGGAAACCAACCTGGGGATGTATCTCTGCATTTAAAGCTGCAAAGATAAATAGACTTAAATCTTTTGAGTCCAAAGTGTGGATTTGTCACTTCTCTTTTACTGCTTTTTGGAGCCACCAGCAGATTAAGACAAAGTGTGACCCTTTGCATAAAGTCTGTGCAGCCTGATTATTGAGGCTTTTCCTTTATTTTAGAAATCCATTCCTGTAAATAAACTGCAAACATCAGCAGTCAAAAGCCATTGCAGCTTTGGCGTCATAGATGGTGACGTGTCCACGGTTGATTTGCCAGGTAGCTTGAGATTTGCATTGAACTTTTCCATCTTGTCAAACTTATTAAGCTACAATAGCCATTATGAAAAACTGGGTTGCAGGAGATTTTAATATGGTTGACAGAAATATTTGCAGAATTTCTTCTATTTTATGTTACAGTTACTTAAGAGCCTGAATGTTTGCATTGCTCTGATAATTGTTTACTTATATCATTGAATCTAACGTGAAAGGCTAGCATAGATTATATTTGTTTTACTGATGTGACGGAAAAAAATCAGACTGATATGTTTTCAATAACACATGCAAAAAATGAAAGTTGTGAATTATCAAACGTCTGTCTCTTTGAAGTGGCTGCATGGTTTACCAGTTCAAGATGATATACGGTCATGCAGAAGGAATGGTCAGGAACATTCATTCACGCACAACTTTGCTCTTTATAGATTTATTGATAAGGCCTATTTGATTTGTAACGAAAGGGTTTTTCATTTTTAAAAAAGTGGAAAAAAACAGAATTAGAAACATGAGAATTTTTTTTCCCACATATACGAGCCTCTTATAAATTGGGATCAAGGTATAGTGCATTATGATAAATACTCATAAAATATGATTAAAAATATATATAAACAATGAACAAATGTCCCAGTCACCCATGCTGTGAGGGTATTGTGACTTTTCCTTTGTGCTGCTCTGTGATGCGCATGTTCAAGCTTGGCATGTTACACCAAAGGTCATGCTCACTGTGTGGATAATTGGCATGGCCTTTTGGAGAGTCAGAGGTTGATAGGGAGGCTTGTGGTTAACTACGTATATGTGATTCAGATATCATGGTGCTGTGGTACGAGTCCGGTGCTTGGCTCCTATGACACAAATTAGCGCCATCGCTCTCATGGGGACGTCATGGCACCAGTGGAAAACAACTCTGCAGTCAACAAGGAACAGCTACTTTCCACACCTGCTGAACACCTGCCGAGACAAGCGACGGAACAGACTTACGAAGATTTAAGAAAACCTTGTTTACTGTGTTGCATCGCCATTGAAACAAGATCATCCTTTTAAATTCCTGCTCAGCTGCATGTTGACTTTGAAAGACATGCTACAATGCAACATAAACAGAGAGCACTGGGTGCGTGATTGATGCTTTTATATGCGCTTTTGACTTTTACAAAGGAATGAGATATACAATAACTACGTCCAAGATAATTATGGACGCAACAGACAGCTGTTGAAGCATGCGTTTCTGTCGTTCTGCTCAGACCCTCCAGTTTGAGAGAGGTCAGCTGTTGCAGGATGGAGGATAGGTTAATGTATAGTTCCTGAAGAGGCAGAGAAGTGGCTATGTGCAGGGAGGAAGATAGATCGCCTCAGGCTGCAAAGCCAGGAGAATGACCTTCAGAAGAGCAAAGAAGAACAGAGCTGTGAAGACACTGCCTGAACATAAACTGACAAGCTGTTACAGAACTTAGCTGGAGCTTTAAAATGGACTCTGCCTTGCTCCACTGGACCAGAAAGAAAGAATTGTTTAACACAAAGGGAGCCATTTAAGAAAATGATTGAAATCCTTTACTTTCTCCTTTACATTCTGCATCCATTAATAAGGCCTAATTTTTCATCCTTAATCTAAACGAAACGTGAAATGTGACACATTGAGTCTTACTCTAACAAGCTTGTTTAATGTTTTTCCTGGCTGCGAACTAAACCTGCAAGGATTAGTTGATTAATCAATTAGTCTATCCACTGAAAATTAATTGGAAACTATTTGTATAATTGATTTATCAAAATCCTTTTTTACAGCAAAAACTAAAAAATATCTGTTTCTAGTTCATCCAATGGGATAATTCGCTGCTTCTGTTTTATATCTTTGTAAACGGATACTTTACCAGCATTTTTTATGTAGCTGGGTCATATATACTGCAATCTTGTTTAAATAATCTCAGTCAGAATATAGTTACTGGGCCCACCTGAAAGGCTCGACCTCCATGTCTTCTTCTATGGTGCCTCTGGATGCCTTCACCTCTTGGTGCGCGTCGGTAAATCCAAAGACGAAGAAGAGAGGTGGGTGTGGCTTTTAACTACTATCAAGATACATGCTAGTATACTAGGCTAGTTATTCATTATACTTAGTGGATGTCTTGTCCTACAAAAGTCTAATGTTACTTCGTACTTCTATGTCACTAACATATTTCACAGGGAAATATTTTACTTTTTTCTCCACTACATTTGATAGCTTTAGTTGCTTTACACATTTAGATTTAAAAAACAAAACAAATTTGCATATACAATACAATGCAGTATAATAGAGTAACAAAATCTCCCAATAGTGTATGAAAGCTAAAATCAGCTCCACGTCCGTCAGCCACAAAATGTATATGCGTCTAACGTAGTAAAACAATGGATCAAATGTTCAGAGCTCCGGTCAAGACATTTTGCTTGCATTGTTTTCTACTTATGTAAATGTAGCTGATAACAGCTAAATGTGCTTTTATGAGAGAACAGTTTTGAATGCAGGACTTTTACGCGTTTCATTTTATAGAGTGATATTGGCACTTCTAAGGTAAAGGGTCTGCACACCCGAGTGTATTTTCTCCACTGCCAAATAACAAAACAGATTGAGGAAATAGGAAACTAAGGAAATTGGCACAGCTCTGCTGCAAACCTCGGTAAGTTTAATGAGCTTTCTAAGTAGTTACATTTACTCAATTACACACACTATTCCCTTTACTTTGAATGTTCATGAGGCAAGAATCTAAAGTGCTTCGCCTCACATTTGAAAGATTAGACAGCCGATAGTTCATTTCGTGTTCAAAAGTCTCATCCACCCCCAAAAGTGACATGCTTTCTGTGACTCAGCACTTACTCATGTGCAAGTCCTTTTGTCCATACGTAATGAGCTCCAACATGTTCTGCAAATGTCAACCAAGATGTGAAGCCAAAGCTAGCTCAAAAGATAGATGCTGGAGGAGAACAGCTGTTTGAGTGTACCAACAATTAGATGATCTTGAAATTGCAATGACACAAGACTGAGCAAACAAATGTGGAGTCCTTGAGACGAGCACTCTCCAGCAGTTGCTACTGATGGGCAGACCTCCAGTACTCAACACAAGGTGAAAAAGATCAAAATGCAACTCATTTTATTGGGTCAACAGAATTCATGTACAAAATAAGCATTTCAATTCAGACCTGATTTATTCAAGAACTACAGTTGAATCTTTGAAATTCTCAAAAGCTTGACATCCTAATCAAGGTGTCAAGTGACATTCAAATAATGACTTTGAAATTCAAATAGTTTAATGCATGCCAGCTACATTAGAAAAACTCAACCAAAGAGACCCAATTCTAGAAAATTCAAGAAAAAAAGTCAAAATTAAAGCCTTCACCAATTTCAGGAAGTTCAAACTTAACAGTGAAGAAGCGCTGCTAGTCTGGATAGATTTGTATTCAACCTTTTAGTGGTAGGACCTCAGGCTTCTCCTCCTCCAAAGGGCGGGGCGGTTTGATACCAAACAGATTGCGCAGGTTGACTTCTGGGTCAACATAGTGCGGGATCTTGCGTTCATTGAAGAGGCCTGCGAGGTTGGTTTCCACCTTGGCACGTCGGGAGATCCGCATGCGCAGGGCGAAGAGGGTACGCAAGTTTTCCTCCACAAGGGGCAGATGGTGTCCATCCAAACGCTTCTGCCAGGACTTCTTTGGCCGCTGACGTTTCTGTTGGGATCAGAATTTAGGAGAGAAGTTTTGGAACAATGTCCGTTTTTTGCAGTTGGATACAACATATCAATTGAAACCCAAATAGTAGAAATTGCTTATATGCTTTGACGGAAAAACCATGTAAACCTCCAACTCGCTCAAGCTTCAGTTGGCCAGAAGCACAGGAGTCCGATTTCAAAAGGTTTAGAGAAAAATCCAAAATCAATCGTCCCCTGGCCAGGTAGCTTTAAGAGCTCACTGGTGTGTGGTGCTTTAGTCCACATCTGTACCGTTGGATAATTGCATCAGACTTGCCTTCAGGGTGGCGGCGCTTGGGTCATGGCGGAGCAGGTGTCTGGTCAAACTCTCCTGTGTAATAGAACAAAGCCATAATGTAATACACATATTGAATCTACATTCAACACAAAATTACAAATTCAACACTCAATTAAGATTAATTTGGCATGTTCTTCACAACCATTGTCAGAAGTCGTACAATGTTCTTGACTCAGCCAGGTCAGAATATTAATTTTATTCATTAAAATGGCAGGTCTGCATGATGCAAATGACTCGAGGGAATTTAAGTTCCACGTCTTTGAATGCAAAGAAGAAACAATTCTGATACATCCATCAAGGACCAGTAATGGAAGACGCGTTACTTACCCGCATAGCAAACTTGCGTGGGCAGTCAGGGAAGGAGCATCCGTATTTGAAGAGCTCGAGGTGCACCTTGCGGATGTGGTGCTGCAGGTTAAAGGTTGTGGAGAAGTAGGCCTGGCAGTCATCCCTGGGACAAACCAGCACGGGCTTATGGGAAGCGTGGATCCGTCTGTGCTTCCGCAGAGCATCCCTTTTCTTAAACACCTTCTTACATGCTTGGCATGTGAATGTGGCTACGACAGATTTTAAAAATGTGAAAAACAAAAAGCAAAACAACACTCAGGACTTCTGTACTATGACCGCAACATATTTACCTGGATGTTTGGCCATGTGCTTCCTAAGTTTACCCCAGGTGTGTTCAAACACCTGGCAGTCAACATGAGGGCAGCGGTAACCTGCAGGGAAACAAGGCCAGTGAGTATCAGGAAATCAAAAGGATCGTCACCAGTTGGCCCCCTTCTGGGGCCCTTGGAGGAACCTATAATGTGTGTGATTTGTCCTTAAAGATGCACAAAAAGGTTACACACAAATGCAACCACAACCCCCTTTTAATTAAAGAATTTTACAGGGATGAAAGGACCTTTAAGATCGTAGACCAACCTGCATGCTTCTTCTCGTGGGCTTTGCGGGCGATATGGGAGTCGAACATGGCAGCGCATCCGTCCTTCGAACACCTGAGTACCCCCATCAGGGACAGGCAAGAGGTAAAAATAAATTTAACTAAGCCAACTGGGACCACACCCACTCAGCCTGTAACCACTCATGTATCTCTGCTAGAGCCTGCACTCCAGGCATCAAAGATCTGATTAATTAAAATGCCAAGCGCATAATCTTTAACAGCTCATGGTCTCAGGCATTTCAATAACCCACAGCTACATGTCCGGTTTTACACTACAGCTACGCCCTTATTTCTGAGATGTTGTGATGTATGACAGACATACTTTGACTTAGCAGGCACATTATGCTCCTGCAAGTGCAGTTTAAACGCTCTGCGTTTTTTGAAGGTCAGTGAGCAGTTGGACTGGTTACACTGTGGAGAAAAAAAAAATCAAATGGTTAAAATGACAAAAGACTTGAAAACTGGCTATTTACATCAAGAGCCGTGACTTTCAGCGGACGCTGTTGTATGTTGGCCTTTTGGCGCCATCTCGTGGAAACACGTGTATTCAGACAAACCTTGAAATACTCGTTTTTGTCTCCGTGGATGTAGCGCACGTGTCTTTTCAGATTGCCAGCATGGAAAAAATTCTCCGTGCAGCTCTCAAATTCGCATCTGCACAAAGCAAAGTTTAAAATGAGGTGGAAGGCTTTAGTCGTTAGGAGCAACGGCACGAATTTGACTTACTGGAATTGCTTCACCCCTCTGTGTTTGAGCATGTGGCGCATCAGGTGAGATTTTCGCGTGAAACGACGATCGCAGCCAGCGATTGTACAGAGACACGGGCGCTGTGGACATTTGTGAACGGTTAGCCTACAACTTCAAGAAGGCCTATGCCAAGTATATGCACGTATATAGTTAATATAATGGTTTATGCAGCAGCGGCCGGTATTTCCCTCACCGCTCCGGTGTGCACAGTCTCGTGCTCTTTCAGTTTCCACTGTCTGGTGAAAGTCGCTCCACAGTCCGCGTGGGCGCAGTTCAACAGCTGCAGCTGCGGACCGCCGTCAGGTTTCCCGCTGGGCACACCGTTCATTTTTCTCTTTATCTGAATACGTCTCCAAAGACGATATGTCACGGAAAGCCCGCCGCTTTTGTCAGCCGGTCTTATAGCCTCGTGAAAGAACTTAATTGCTTCATTGGCAACGTCACCAGCAGCGTTCATTGATTCAACACTTGTGCAACCCCCAAGAAGTAGCCCACAGCTGAAACACATTAACCTAATTGCTCCGAACTCATTAGTGTAAGACACGGCTAAGTGAACAAACGTGCCAACTACTCAAAGCCAGACAGTTGTTGCCTGTCAGTGTTAAATGGTAGCACTTTTTAGTGCAAGGTACACTGTAAAGTAGTTACAGGAGAGAGAAATGAGCACTTTATGCATTAAAATACAGATTGATAATAGCAATACATATGATAAGTCGACATAGGCAGGACTTCCAGCTCAAATGTAATACTGGTCCTTTCTAACACATCACACTGGGAAAACTTGAAATAACTTCATGGAAGCCATATTCTGAGTCTTAATAAAATCACACTAGACCTGAAGAATATACAATTAAAAATCTATTCCCAAAAGTAATCAGACTTCAGATTAGTCCAGCTGACTTTATGCAGTTGCAAATAACACATCTTCCTGGTGTGTTTTATGATGCCGCTATTCACGCAGTAGAGGGCAGTGTGCCTTTATCTCACAAGGCTCTGGCATTTTTGACTGTAAACTCACAATTGTTTCATAACTCTGCAGCAAATATAGGCTGTAACATAGTGGCTCTACGTAACTTTAAATTTAGGATTTAGTGGAGAAATAGTTGAAGCTTCCCTCATGACATGTGAAGTCAAAGACTGATGTCAAATCTCTGTTATATCAAAGTTTTTTTCTGAGAAGACTGTGACAGTAGCTGTTGATTAAAGTAGACATTGTAATACATTCTTCATTGTTTGGATTCCTTAGACCCTACAGGAACTATCACTAATATATATAATATGACGTACAGGTGAAGCACAGTCAGCATACTCTGAGTCCTCGCAGTTCTCTTTGCAGTTTTTCTTACTCAGTGGCCCGATTGCTGAATACTTAATTGAGTGCATCAGCATTGTGTGATATGGAAACCACTAAAAGGCACAGTGGTGATGTTGATGGTGATTCTTGAGTTCAGATTAACAGTAGAAAGGCCAGTCTGAACTGAAATGAGGTCTGTTTTGAGTTTGAGAACTATACGTTTTCTCAGCAGAGAAGGGACAGGACCAGCACCTATTTGGCCCTTGATGCTGCACTCCTCCTGCTGCTCTTCCCTCCATCTTTTCCCTACTATCTCTTGATCCCCGTTTCTCTCAAAGGGGGGTATGATGAAATATTCAGAGGGGGCTGTCAGTGCACAATATGCCTCCATGTGTTGCAGGATGGCTGCTGGAAGACTTGAACTGCATCAGGAAACAAACCCTGCAGGTCACATGGACTGAGACAGCAACACATATTGATACATAGACGGCAGGTCTCCAGTTCTAATTGATTGATCTGTGTTTATGGTTCCTAATAAGAAGCCAATTGATACGCTGGTTAAATTCATGCATCAGACAGTATGTCATGTTTACCTAAATCACTGCTGTATTACGAAATGTGTTGCCAGCACAGTAATATGTTTGTATTGATGCATGTTTTTGAGTATTGTTTGAGTATTTATCATTTTTTTAACATTATATTATACTAATTTTTTTCATTTAATTTAAGTAGACAGATAAGCTAAAAGGCATTGTGTCACACCGTTGCCGTAACTGAAAAACCAAAATCACCATCTACTATTCTTCAATTGCATTTTTCAGAAAACTGCGGGATAGCTCTTATCTGACACCAGGGGAATCTGGGCTGATAAGAATAAGTGGCTGATGAGCATAATGAGATCCAGGTGCACCTGGATCTGTGGACAGGGATGCTCAGCTGAGGGGATTGCAAGGGCAGCTGGAGGTGGCATGTATTTGTGAACAAAATATGAACTATTAAGGTTAAATTGTGACACCTAGTCTACAGCATCCCCAGCTTTTATATCATCCCAGTAAATGTAGGTATATAACTTGTTCGTATTTCACAGCAGAGAATGACAGGGACTTGTCTACAAGTGTAACGGCACAATAACAGTCAACATGGAACACGAGACTATGACGTTAGGGCCTCTGATGTATAGTACGTTTTTACGTTACTGCTGTGATGTCTCTCCTCGTTCGGGACGCACATTTATCCTGCATCTCTTCTTAATGCATTCCGAAATATCGTGCCATTCATACCCGTCGCCTACATTTAGAAAATTAATGAATTGTCGTTCCCTTCCTTTATGGCTTCTGTTCCGCCGCGCGCAGAGCCGAGCCGGGCTGTCGCATCCTCTCCCTGGCAACGAGAGGAGGAGGCTGCTCGGGATGAGGGAGGGTACCACGGTCCCACGTGTCCTCCCCGCAGACCCAATGCATTTCTCTTCGCTTTCCCATCACTTCGTTTCCGCATACTGCAGATTCACATATAGGCTATAGCCTGCACGTATAACCTCAACCATTCACATAAACGCACCCGCGCAGCCTTACGGAGCTATGCTCCTCACTATTCCCTCACTGATCGATCTATTAGCCTGCATTGATCATCTCCGTAGCGGGCCTGGGTTGTGATTCATTTTTCATAATTTTGATATGCTAATCCAAATTTTCAACAGCGGCATTTGCTGGAGCTGAGAGAGAGAGAGAGAGAGAGAGAGAAGAGGGGAGAGAGAAGAGGGGAGAGAGAGAGAGAGAGAGAGAGAGAGAGAGAGAGAACGCGCATCATCAGATGTTTAGCAGATCCACTTTCGCTCCTCGCCATCGTCTCTGCTGTGCGATTTTTCGATCTTTTTCTTTCCCTCGGTCGGCCGGGTTTGTGACATTATGCGGCTCTCGATGTTGTAATCCGGGAGAATATGTGAAGATCATGCTGGCGGTGTGGTGCTTCATTGTCTGTGCTGCAGTGGGGGAGAGGCTTGCGGTCTCAGGTAAGAGAGAGAGAGAGAGAGAGAGGGGGGTTTGGATAAAGAGCGGGAGCACCCTTTTCGTTTCCTTTGCGTCCACATTTTTCCCCTTGCACCAGCACTTTTCTGTCCCCGGTGTAGGCTGTGATTTAATTGTAGCGGGAGCTCGGTGCCAACCAGTCCGCTGACCTGAAAGCACCGTAGATCTGCTGCATCAACACATTTGCATCGCGGCCCCGCATCGCCTATATGAAACGTGCCCATAACTATTTTGTTTAATCCAATACACATCGAAAAGCACAATAATATAACGTGTCAATCACAAAGGAAACGCGTTTTACATGATGATTGCTGAGATTTGTAGCTACATGGCCTTGTGTAGCTGCCTGCATATCAATATGGGCGTCAGGCTTCTATAGAGCTTATAAACTATGACAAATTACTTCAGCAATTATTTTTCATTAAAACCTTTTGTCCACCAAATGACTTCTACTAGATTCAGTGACTGATTAAACGTTATTAACTGCTCAGTGTGATAAATTAGGTCAACAAACTATTAGCGGACAGAAAGAAAAAAAAAAAAAAAAAAAACTGATCTGAATGGTCACACATTGTGACTTATTAAAAATATAACACTTTTAAATCAACTCCTACTATTTGATTTGTTTACTACACAACTACCAGGTCCAATTTGGACAGGCTCAGGTGTGTCCCTATACCTTGCCAAGCCCTCTGCACACTCACCAGCCTGTGGTGAGAGTGTCTCTGTTGTACCTGCAGGTGTGGACAGTAGCCCGGCACCGGATGGAGGCATCTGGGACTGGTTTACCCCGACAGGGCAGCCGGACAGCGGGGACACTGCCCCCAAGGTCACCTATCCTAAGCGGCTGGTGCAGCAGATTCAGTCGGAGGAAGAAATGGCTCATGACCACTTGGATACCAGGGTGAAGAACAGCACCGGGAACACCTTGGTAAGTTGTAACTAATTGTAACTCCCCCATTGCCAATTCCTCTCTCATATTCCCAATGCTGTTTATTTCACAATGAATCACTCGATTCTCTGTGATTCTCAGCCCAGTGGTCTTAATTTGATCGCCAAGTACACCCAGAAGTCCTTAAATAGCTTTCATGAATCTCCAGGCAAACTGAGGAACAGATCAATTTCATTGCAATTGAATTAAAAAGAAAGTATCCCAGTTGGGCAATGTATGACAATATTTATTCATTGTTACCTCACATACACAGGTAGAACATTTTTTTCTGGCGTAAAATATGCAAAAAGGTTGCTTGCAGCTTAACGTGCAGATCAGTTAGTGCTCAGCATGCATCCTTATGAAGAGATTCACTATTGGTGGCATTGTAACAAGTCTGTGTGGAGATGTGACAGTAACACAGGCTGTTGTGTGCTGCTGATGGAAACCTGATTTTGTTCCAGTGTCTGTAACAGTGCAGCATTCATGTCTCTGTTGCTCAGGCAGCCTCTGCTACACAGGGTATAGAGTAAAGAGTGGTGTCTTGCAGCAGTCTCCGCTCCTTGTTATTTTAGTTACTGAAAAAATCCTTTCCAATGTCCACTGAGAATTAATGTCCAAGACAGATAAGTTGCTGTTTTGCAGCCATTTTTCCTGCCTAAAATCAGGCCGTATAGCATGTGGGGCAAGTTCTGAAAGTGAAACCTGCTGACCTGCTCTGTGTACTGTGCAAGCATTGTAGTGAATGCACAGTTTATCGAAGAGCTGTTTAAATGTTTGCCTGCATGTTTGTTTTGTAACGGCCCTCATCTCCACATAACAGAGCTTAGCCTGTCCTGAAATAGTCATAATGTCCGACCATCCGGCTGCTGTGCTGAGCCCCCCCCCCCCCCAAATTTCTTCATTATTCAGCGGTGTGTTGAAGGATGTCCCGATTAATTATGAAGCAGGCCTGTGTGAGAAGTGCTGCATGGTCCAAGTGGCTTGAGCACTTCCCATCCCTGCCCCCGTATCTCTCTCTCTGTCATGCTATGATGTAGTTCATATAACTGTTATGAGAGAGTACATTAGGCTCCTTACACACACACACACACACACACACACACACACATACACACACACACACACACACAGAAAGTCACATGTTTGAAGACCAGTTAAGATGAATGGTGTTGCCCCTTGAGGAGAAACTGTCTTAACCAAGACAGATACATTATTGTGTGGTAGGTGGTTCTGAAATAGATTTTTACTGGTTATTGGCCTCTATTGTTCATGTAATGAAATGTAATGTAGTGATATTAAGGTTAATTTAACAGCACTTTCTGTGAGACCAATTCCCACGTAAATGTAGCAGTTTGTTGTTAAACACAAAAGAAGTCAGCCACATCTTTTGTCATTATGTTAAAGTGAATATCGATTTGATATAAAATAATGAGTCATCTGCATTTTAATATCCATCATAGTTGAAAAAGGCCTGTAGGATGATGGATGGATGATGTGGTGTGATCAAAAGCTCCAGAGCAGCTGCTAATACAACCTGGTCGTGAGATTGTTTTGTCAAGAATTCAATTTCAATCTCACCTTTTGAACCAATGTGGACAAAAATTTAACTTTGAGCAATTTCATTGCAACTGTGCAAACTCCTTCCGCTGAGGAAGACATTGCGATACAATCGAAAGATCCAGAGTGGCTTCTCAATGGAACTTCTGGCGAAAACAGTTTGTCAACCACCAAGAGCAGTATCACACAATGATCAAAACACGAATGCGGCCAATGTAAACCGTGTAACGACAACACAGAGACCGAAGCCCTGATGACACCATGCTTCAGCCTCTCCAAGACAGTAGTAAGAAATCTGTTGTCCATACTCGCTGGAGAGAATAATTCCCGGGTAGTGATGCACTGTATTGTAAAAGCCCTGTGATTCACGGCGGCCTGGTTCCTCTAGACTGAGATCAAAGCCATGCTGGCACAGTCATGGCTGTTGAAGAGACGCACTGTTTAGACTGCAATAAATCTCTCTCTCACTTCATGGCCCTGCTGTCTCCTCACCTCCTCAGCATTGGCAGCTGTCCATTGGGGCCATTGGCACAGCATGGCTGAATATAGACCATACCAGCAAAGTTTTCTCTTCTGCCTCCTCCCTCTCCATCCATCTCAATTACCAAATTCCAGCTTAGCTCGTGAACAGCCATAGCTCTCTGCAGTCATGCCTGCCTGAATTCTGGCATTCACTGTCAATCAATGGAGACTTTATCAATCATAATATTTCAGCTGCCGAGTTGCTTTTAGAGCGTACACACTATTGATTCTGTTGAATTATTCATAGAACCTTTTCACAATCACTCTTTGGCTTTTACAGAGTGACGCTATTAACCACAAATGTTTTGTTACACTTGAAATATGTCTCTGTGTTGTTTATTTTCTAGGCCGTCCACTTGGCCCAGAGCTGTTTCCAAGTGGAAGCCTTTGGACACACCTTCACTCTGGACCTGGAGCTAAACCAGTTAGTATTACTGTCCCCAAATCACAGATCTGCCTTTTTGTACACACTTCAATACAGTATCAGTAGGTGCTCTTAATTCACTGCAGCTGTTCTCATTAGCATTTGGCAGCACTTAAGCAAACACACTTAGCGCCTCTATTATGTTACATGACAAGATGGGGAATACCAATGTGGAAAACCCACAGACACACACTGCTGTATGTTTGTGAGGTTCCACTGATTTTTATCCACACTGCATGTTAATAAAATGTTGAGTTTAGGTGAGAACAACAGGTGGAAAATAACCCTGATGACATCAATACATGGAGATAATGCTGTTAGAGATGTTCACGGCATCTCTCTTCTCTTTGCAGTCACCTCCTGTCTTCAGAATATGTGGAGCGGCACTTTAACCACAATGGCAGACCCTCACAGTCTGTGGTAAGACAGTTTGCGTGGGGATGTGAAGGGACAGGATTTTAGTGAGTGAACTTGTCTTTTGGCACAAAGAAGGCAGCATAATAATGAGATGACCAGTGCAGCGTTCAGTTCTTTGGCTGCAGAAACTTTTACACTGGTGCTGTTGCCAGTAAATCTTAGAATACATTTAAAAGTTTTGTTTGTCAGATGCAATGCCCCTCTAGAGCTCTTTATATAACAAAGTCACTATGTCTCATTTATATTTTAAGGTCATCTAACACAGAGCCTTTTCATTTAAGCCTCATTTTAGAAACAAAAGGCATTCTTTTTGTTTGTTTTTACCTTCTAAGGCTGATCTTTTTATGTGATGTTTACAGTTTGATCTCATCCTCCCGTTTTTCTCTATTTATAGAAAGTGCATTGTGTGATCTCTGCTTCAGAAGTAGGCTGCCATTTAACTGTCTGTTACTGTGCTCTACATACTTGGGTTCTTCCTATCAGCGGCGTGCATGCATGCCTCTCAGCTGTGGCCTTTCCCAGACAGTCAAGAAGAAAGTCAGCGGATGCCTGTGATGTAAAGCCACAAGCTCAAAGAATAGAGACGGAGAACAGGAAAATGGATGAAAGCCTTGACATCTAATGTGATGTGTTCTTGTCAGGGCAAACCAGAGGAATGTCATTGCATTTTGCAAGCCAGGAGGGATGGCTAATGCTTCTTTTTTTCTGTCTAAATGTGCCACTCGCTGCTTACCCCCCCCCCATCAGTCACCCACCCACCAAACCATGCACTCCGTGTCCCCACCCACAATCATCCCAAACTCTCCCTCAGTCCTCCTGACCAATCACAAGCCTGTTTCTATAGCAACCGGTTTGCTCAGCAGTGTCATTAACTTCTTGGCAGCGCAGAGAATGAAAGAAGAGCGAGAGGGAGGAAAGAGCGACCAGAAGAGGAGGAGGAGGAGGAGGAGGAGGGAAAATGAGGAGTAAAATGTCAGTTGATACAAAGGCGAGACGAGCTTTGGAGTAGGGAGGAGTTATTTTGGGGGGTGTATGTGTGATTATCGACAATCTGGGTTTGTTCCCAGAGCGGCGGGAGGGAGAGGTGGCTTGCAGGGTCGAGGATGGAGACCTGTAGTCAGACCAGATTGTCACTCAGCTGGACGGAGGCCTCACGTAATGCCTCTGATGCTGCTGCTGGACATGGCAGGTGTGATGCGTTCAGGGCAGCACGTCACCAGACTCATTTCTGTCGTTAGAATGTGTTTTTTCTCTCCATTTTAAGCACCAAGGTGTTGTGGCAAGGTTGAGACGCCCTGCTGAACTCAATTTGATCCAGGTGAGACAGTGTCTCTCACTTTTCTCACCGTTCCTGGTGGTTCATCTTCGCCGCTGTGACCTTCTCGTGAAGCAGAGCACCCTCTTTTGAGGGAGTGTTAGCTGGAGACAAGAGCTAGGGCTCTGTCGTGGTGGTCAAAATTGTTACGAGGACAGGAAAGAGCAGATGATGCAGATGCAGTCTTCCTACTGCACAGTCATTTCATGTTACATTCTCAGATCTGTGTGGGCAACATTAGTTTTAATTTATTGAAGAGATGCTTGTCATGGATTTACCTTCACCTCCATTGTCAGTGAAGCAGAATAGAGTGGAGTAGAGCGCAGGACACAAGTAGGTCACAAACTGTGCCATAAATGCGATCGTGGGGAAAGAGGGAGAGGGGAGTCGCATATGCAGAGGTTGTGAGAGGTTTCCCCTGAGAGCGGACCTATTCTGATACGCAGGATAAAAAGACAGCATGCAAGGCCTGAAATGTGTCAGTAGAGATTGTTTCATGAAACAGGGGTGCATTGTGTCCACAGGGAGGGGAGCACTGCTACTACCAGGGACGGTTAAGAGGTTTACCAGAGTCCTGGGCAGCTCTCTCCACCTGCCACGGCCTGTGGTGAGCCTGACAGTAAACCTTTATTTATAAATGCACATTTGTTGTCCTGCTATATTTTTCTGCTCACATAATTACGTTGTTTTGCTTTTTAAGTTTTCTGTCTCTTTCTGCTCTACATCTCAGTGTCTTTCTCTTGTTGTTGGTCCATAGCGGCATGTTCTCTGACGGCTTCTTCTCTTACGGGATTGAGCCTGTTCACAATGGCAGCAAACAGGTAAACAGGCAGAGGATAGTAGTTGATAGTAGATAATTCCCAAATTATTGTGAGTCTGAATGCTGATTTCCTTATTTGTCTAATGACATCTGGGTGTATTCTGTTTATAGGATGGTGGCGCTCACTTAATCCGCAGAATGTCCGATATCAGACTTTCCCCCCACTGCCCAGGTACACGATTGCATTTAAAGCATAAACTTCTGGCACTCATATCACATCGGAATAGTACAACCTTTAAGTCTTTTCTTATCTTTATGATATTTCAATATATTCATATAATTGCCTTTCTTTCAATTAGATAAATTAGATACAACCCACTGTCCACTGTTGCAATAATGTCAAAATAGATTTGACTATAAATTCCATATTTACTGCTTATGTTACTGTCCAATAAACCTCCAACACAATTATTGTAGTATGTTCAAAAAACAATTTTTTTTTTGTCGTCACAGCATTTTTTATTAATTCAGATGGGGTGATGATTACAGTTACAGCTGTTTGTAAAGGGAACTGTAACGTTTTCACTGAAATTGAGATAGGAATGTTTGCACTGCACCTTTTACAGCACAAGGAAATGGTAACACTGCTCTAAGTGCCCGCAGCTCTGCTTCTCTGTGTCCAGACTGTACAGAGGACGATGAGTGGGATATCAGAGGAGGTGATGGTGATGACGACAGACCGGACCAAATGAGGGAGCAGCAGCAGCAGGGGTCTGGGGGGCTGAGGCGATCCAAGAGATATGTTCGCAAACCCTCTGTCCAGACTGAGACCAAATATATTGAGTTGATGGTGGTCAACGACAATGAAATGGTGAGTTAAAAGTATGTTTTACTGCTAATTATGGGGACGCCCGATCTTCCCTGATGGCCTTTGTTGTACAGAGAAATTGAGTTTTTCGGGTCATAGAAGCTGTCCAGCGGTGCCTTGATCTAACAGCCGGGTTTGGGATGTGTGTATTTAATCTGGTTGTTATCATTTTAGCTTGTCTAACAAATGTCAACGCAAGAAAAAAGGTATGCCGTATGTCAGGATCCTTTATAGGTATCTCAATACAAACGTGTGTGTATTTATGCGTGAGAGAGTGAATGTGATCCATCTCTTACACCGTCTGTGTATCTCTGTGTCTCCACAGTTTGTGCTGCGTCGCTCCAACAGCCAAACCAAGAACTTTGCCAAAGCAGTGGTCAACATGGCAGACGCGGTAAGAGCTTTATTTGAAGGATTGTAATCCTCCTATTCCTTAACTCTGCATACACACACTGCCACCTGTCAAGAAGTAGTGTGTGTGCTTATTTCTACATTTGAAAATGATTTATCCCAGACTGCACACAGCGTTCACAGCACAACGTGTGTCATGCCAACAAAGAATCGTTTCGTTTCGTATCCCCAGATCTACAAGGAACAGTTGAACACGAGGATTGTGCTGGTTGCTCTGGAGACCTGGACCTCTAAAAATATGATGCCAGTAGTAGAAGATCCATTGATAACGCTGCAGAACTTCATGAAGTACAGGAAGGACAACATCAAAGATCAGAGCGACGTTGTCCATCTTTTCTCGTAAGAGGAATCTAATATCTTGATAATTGAGGATAATATTTGATGCTCGGTTGCTTGTTTTTAAATGATGGTATCTTTCCTTTGCACCTCAGAGGGCGTACATTTCACAGCAGCCGCAGTGGGACGGCCTACACAGGAGGAGTGTGCTCTCTCACGAGGGGAGGAGGCATCAACGAGGTGAGGAAAATCTAAAAAGCTTGTCTCTATAATAAAGCGCCTCAACTTAAAACTTAAATTTGAGAATAGAAGTAAAATTGTTGTTTAAAAATCTGGAGCAACATGGACAGTTCTAATTTAGGTTGTGAAAGGACTAAACCAAGATAAGAAAAACATTTTTTAAACATTTAAAATTAGTTAAATAATATAAGGTTTGCAACAGAATTATTAGATAAACGACAAATTATAGAAATAGTTTGACATTTTGGGCAAAATTTTTTTTTTCATTTGTATCTCTCTCATGATTGTATAATAAATAACTTAGTTCAGCATAAAGACTGGAAACAGTAACAGTTAGCCTGGCTCCCTCCAAAGGTAAACAAAACCTGCCTACCAACACCTTACTGGTCCGAGTCTAGATATAGTCCAGCACATTATCTCCCCGGTAAAACATTGATTTGTACCCATCTCACAATAAAAACCCTCCTCTGTCAATTCTATGTGAATTTGTTGCAGTATGGGAATGTAGGAGCAATGGCCATCACTTTGTGCCAGAGTCTGGGCCAGAATATCGGCATGAGGTGGAACAACGTCCGCAACTCTGCAGGTAACAGATGACAGGAAAGCCAGATAATGCAGGAGGGAAGATTAGGACCTGCACACCCGGGGTTGAACTGAATAAATGATCAAAGCAAGAGAGCGAGATCAGTGTGGGAAGGATTGAGGCAGGGAGGGACGGTGTTGAGAGGGGGTGTTAGAGAGAGAGCGTTGGGTGTTTGTATCCCTGTCCAGTTCTCTTCTGTAATTAGACTTCTCCATTAGGTGATTAGTCACCTGAGTCCAAGAAGGAGGGGTTGGTGGTTGGAGCATTGCCGCCACTGAACAATGGGCTCTGTGATTAATGTTGAGGAGCCATCAGGTCCATTATTCAATGCCAGGACAAGAGCTCAGTGCACACACTATAGGTCTTCCTTACCTCTGTCACTAGGTATCAGTTCTAGGCAAAACGATTTATGGTCAACAAAGAAGAATAGTCTTCTTTGTTGACCATAAATCTTTCTTTTGGTTGGTTGTAGGTTGTAAATGATGATAATCACATTGTTTTCTTTCACGATATTTATTTAAGTTCCCCCCTCTCATCTGTGCTCTTCTTCCTCCTGGTCTTCTTCACAGGAGACTGCAGGTGTCCAGACGCCTGGCTAGGCTGCATCATGGAAGACACGGGGTAAAGACAAACAAAAAACACAACACACCTGTAAAATGAATCTTTTCTCTGTTTGTTGACACGTTTTGTTGCACTCCCTCTGCTATTTTTTTCTGTTCATTTCTGTCAGTTAAACAATTTAACAGCTGTAACAGAGGGACGCTTTGCCTTTTACTCAGTCTTCAATGAGCCAAGCTTGTGATAATCACAGCGTGTATCTGATGGGTTAAAAAGAAATGTTGAAACATCAGACATAAATGTGCCAATTACCTTGTAAGAATTACAAACTTTATTTAAACTAGTTACTATACACTATGCACGATTTGGATTTGGCTCTCCTTACCAAATAGAACAATACCAATTAAAGTTACTCATTTGATTAATATCCTACTACAGATGGTAACATTTCTGTCTTGATTGCAAAGTGATGGCACAGACACCCACAGTGGATCTGGCATTCCTTACTGGCAGAAAAGCATTGTGCTGTTTGTTTGTGTTTGTGAATACAGATACTATCTGCCCAGAAAGTTTTCTCGCTGCAGTGTTGATGAGTACATCCAGTTCTTGCTCCAAGGGGGCGGGAGCTGCCTCTTCAACAAGCCAAACAAGGTGAGGGCCATGTGGGGGATGTAGGATGTGATTAACATATATACTGTATGTGCACGGTATATGTATATGTGCTCATATATATGTCCATCTCTGTCTCGCTCAGCTGTTGGACCCTCCAGAGTGTGGGAATGGCTTTGTGGAGCCAGGGGAAGAGTGTGATTGTGGATCCCAAGTGGTGAGTACCCCAGTTGGGACGTCATGCATGAAAGCAGGTACTGAAGCTGTTTTCTGGAGCGGAGCTGAAGGTTTGTTTTTATGTCTATGGCTGCAGGAGTGCGCCCGTAGTGGAGGAGCCTGCTGTAAAAAGTGCACACTTACCCACGATGCCATGTGCAGTAACGGACTCTGCTGCAGTAGCTGCAAGGTGAGTCCACCTAAGAAATAACTTGATATAGTAATAGCTTTTTCTGTATGTGTTTTGCTCAATCGGGATAGCAGGAATAATAAATTAGTTCTAGGTATAAGGCGTGGCTTAAGATTCAACCACTACAACCTTCATATTAGTGTCCAGGGATTCCTGTTGTGTGCCCCATGTATACAGTACTTTTCCCGAAAATGCACAAAAAAAAAAAAAAGCATCTACTAAGTGTTACTTATCTCTACATCTTGTATGATAACTTACTGTATATGACTTCTCCACCTGCCTTTTTTTATGCTGTGACCTAGTATGAGCGGAGAGGCGTGGTATGTCGAGAGACTGTGAACGACTGTGATATCCCAGAGAGCTGCACCGGAGACTCCAGCCAGGTAGAGTTGACTGTAATGTAACACTGGGAAAAAAAACAGCAAACTCAAGCAGGGTATCTGGAACATTAAGTACTCTAATTCTTTTGCAGTGTCCACATAACGTGCACAGGCTAGATGGCTACATGTGTGATACTAATCAGGTAAGGGCTCGTTTGTGGCATGTTTTCTGGTCTGCAGGTTCACGCTTACAGATACTTAAATAGTGTTGCCTCATTTCTTCAGGGTCGCTGTTACGGTGGACGATGCAGGACTCGTGATGGACAGTGTAGGGGACTCTGGGGTTATAGTAAGTATAGAAGACATGCAGCTTGCACCTGGAAAGGGTGTGTTGTGTATATATGGCTTTGTAGTCTCAGACTGTTGTAGGCAGAATGATTAGTATGTTTGTTTGCCCTCCCAGATTCAGCAGACAGGTTTTGTTATGAGAAGCTGAACGCTGAGGGGACAGAGAAAGGCAACTGTGGTCCGGGTCCTGAAGGCCAAGGATGGCTGCAGTGCAACAAGCAGTGAGTCACACCTTCCTTATACCTCTTGCTGATATATATAGAAGGATAACAGTGACTTCACTACATCCTGTTTTTTTTGCACATATTGCACTGCTCAAGTTTGACTCTTTACTTAATTAAAAAGATAAGGCTAGCTTTATTTTACGATTTCAACAAATGTCATGAAAAGACAAAAAACCTGTGTGCTGTATGTACAAATTATTGTGTGCTGTATGTCTTTTTAGTCAAGAAGTGGAATATTGTGAACACAGCCAGAGTTTGTTCTCTGCCATTCGCTTTTTTTCCTGATAGGGATGTTTTATGTGGCTTCCTGTTCTGTGCCAATGTGACGATGAAACCAAAGTTTGGAGACCTGCAGGGTGAGGTGACCAGCTTCACCCTCTACCACCAGAACAAATACCTGGACTGCAGGTAAGTGGGTCACGTCTATCTGATCTGCCACAAATAACAGAGTTTACAATTGGAATACCATGTCCTCAAATGTCTAATTGTACGCCTCCTTTCCCACCTGTGTGACATGTTTTGGATGCTTCAATCAGAGGCGGCCATGCTCTGCTGGAGGATGGTTCAGACCTGGGCTATGTGGAGGAGGGCACTCCTTGTGGGCCCAACATGATGTGTTTGGAGCGACGCTGCCTCCCTGTGGTGGCGTTCAATCTCAGCACCTGTTCCGGATCCAACTATGGGCGCATTTGTTCTGACCATGGGGTAAAGATTTCCTGAGCTCACAACTTCACGTTTTACAGATGTATAAGTCACGTGCACTCAGTAGCCAATAATCTAAACTAATGCAAACTTTGCTGTAATATCTGTCTTTATGAAGCTCGTAATGTTCTTGGTGACAAAATTAAATGATGCTTTTATTACTGAGGTCATAGTTAAAGGTGGTGTTTCCAATATTTTTTTCGATAATGCAAATATGAACACGTTTATGACAGTGTCAACAAAAAGGGAATAGATATAGATGATAAACAACCATTGTTTTGTTTGAAATATTTCCTCTGTAAAATGATCATATTCAGATCCAAAATCATCAAAGTTGCAAAAGTTGCTTCATCTAAATGACTATATGTTAAAATACTGTCCCTGAAAGGTTGTTGAAACAATGGCTATATGTCACTAAAATTACAATTCAGCCCAGCTTTAACAAGGATTAATTCATTGATGTCTTTTGACGTGTATATCACCAGCTCCATGCGTACTGGCTACATAGTGGTTTTAACATCTTGCTTGTTTTTCTCTTTCTGTTAACAGCTATTGAACTTGATTTTCACCTCTCTCTCTCTCTCTTGTAGACGTGCAGTAACGAGGTGAAGTGTATCTGTGACAGGGACTACACGGGGAAGGACTGCAGTGTCTATGATCCCATCCCTGAGCCAACAGTCCCGACTGGCCCAGAGAAGAAAGGTCCACAGCGCCTTTCAACCTGCACATGTCTCTCTTTCTGTCTGCCTCTCATATTCCCCTCATACTCTCTGCCCATCATCACTGTCTCCATGTACTGATGTGGAGCACAGCATCTTGCCCTCAAACACAAAGAGTAGTTCACCTGGTTTTTGTGAGATATTAAGTACACACAGTGTTTAACTTCCTGCTGAGTCTTGGTTTCAATATTGGAAGAGTGTGGGTGTGTGTTGAGACACGTTTACTCATTAGAGCATGTGTGCAGTATGTTAGTGTATGTGTATGTGTACCTTACACAGTACTGTATATATTGCAGTCACTGCCATCTTCAAGTGTCTTCCTTACTTTCTTGCAGTCTGCCAATGACACAGAGCAATTGAGCTGCTGCACTCATAGGGCCAAAAAAAGCCACCCTGAGCAAGAGGGTGTCCAGCTGAAAGAGCAGGAGAGTGGGAATGAGAACAAAGTAATACAACTCTCTCTCCTTTGTTTTTGTTTTTTTACTGTTGTCTCCCTGACCTTCCTCGCTCACCCGCCCGTTGTCCCAACTCCACCCCACGTGCTGGTAACGTCCTCCTTCGCTTCATCTCTATTTCTCTGTCTGCAGGTATCTTACCATCTGCCCTCTTCTCTCTCTAGTTGTTGTTGTTGATGTACAGTGTCGATGCTGTCCTATGATGTGTGTTTTATAGTGGTGTTGTTTTGTTTCTGCCCCTCCTCCTCCTCTTCCTCCTCCGCACCCTTCCTCCCTCCTCCTTCCTCTGCGCAGGTCCCAGTGGCACCAATATCATAATAGGGTCCATCGCAGGTGCTATTCTCCTGGCAGCTATAGTCCTAGGGGGAACAGGATGGGGATTTAAGTAAGAGTTCTGGCATGCCTTTGTGTACCTGTCTGCTTCTACCTAAACTTAAGGAACCCCCCGCTCCTCCCACTCTCACCTCTCTGAAATACTAGTTTGCAACTCATCGTCCAACCGGGGGAAGGGGAAATGGGAAGTCAAGTCTGATCTTGTCAAATGCTTGAACTGCTTTTGGCGTCAAAATCTTTACGAAACATCACGCTGGTTGTTTTCTTTGATTGAATCATTAGTCAAACCTGAGCTCCATCCTGCACCTTTCCGTCCCTTTTTATTGTGACGACGGGACTGAGCTGTTGATCTGCCAGGAACCGCTGCAGCACTTTTCTCAAGTCCACTTGAGTTAGTAGCCATTTGTGGAAAAGTGTAATGCTTTTTTAAAGTTTTACCCGTGGTGCTCTTCTAGCCTGCGTTATCGTGTTACAGGCAGCGTCCTGACCCCAAATGCCCTCGCTGCTGTGCTTCTTCTGTACTGTTCCACCTGTGCATGCTGGCTATTGTTCACTCCTTATGCTCTGGCCTAAAAGGACTGCGCCTACTTTACTCACAGTTGGATTCATAAGATTATTGTGGCTGATGAAAAGCAAAAATTGAGTTCCTTATAGCGTGTAGCATATTAGCATGTAGTCAGTCCTTTTAGGGCCCGAGGTAAGTGTCTGTGCATGTGTGCATGAGCTGTAAGAAGTTTTCTCTCCCTGTCTGAATTCTGGCTTAGAGGGTGGGAGTAGAAGTTTCTGGTGTAGAGCCTTGTCAGACTCTATGGGGCTCAGTGCTATGACTACTGTAGATCTGCTGCATGTGGTTGAGAACAATTATGGAGATAATTGATGGATGAATAATGGCTTGAATGAGTCATTAGGTGATTTATTTTTTCCTAAAATCTGTTCTGTGGTTAAATTTTAACCGAGTAAAAATATAAGTTCTTATGTCCACATTTCGCATTAAAGCCTGTTTACGCCACGTTTTAACGATTCTAACTGTTAGTGAATGATGTTGTTCTTTATAATTTGTTAATGCGTATTCGTTCTTTAAATTTCATGCAATTCTAATGCAAGATGATGAGCTTCATAACGTGCTTCTTAAAATAGTTTAGCTTGTCAGTCATTATTTGTCATATTTCCTCATGGCATTAATATTTTGTTGTGGTCTTTTCTCTTCATGGGATGCAGGAACATTCGGAGAGGAAGGTACAATCTTGCAGGGCCGTGACCATGTGATATTCTGTCACTGGAGCAGCATCCAAAAACATCCCATCCCATTCCAAATTCCCTCAGCATAGCTTCCTAATTCTTCATCCTCCATCTAAAGTTCATCCCTTGACTCATCATTCCCACAGCGCACCATGCTCAAAGTGCATCTCACTGCTCCCTTTGCTCAAATTCTTCATCTCATTTTAGTTTCTGCTTAGAAAAAAACCATCAGCTCTCCATCCATCTACTGCCCCCAGTCTTATAATATTCCCTTTAAGCAGAATAGCTTCTTCCATTTCTCAAGCATCTTCATATTCTGTTGCCTGTCAGTCAGTATTTTTTCTTTCTATGTTAATTTTGCGCTTTTTCACTTGTCTTTCAGATCTGGTGGTGGATAAGATGTCTGTCTGTCTTTCTGTATCTCTGGCCTGTCTACTCCTGTATTCCTCCACCGTTTACACATCAGAGAAGAGGGGAACAAAAAAAAAAATAAGTCTTCCACTCCTGTCCCAAAATTTCTCCAAACCTCTTCCGATTATCGTTTCCTCCACGTCCCCGTCTGCTCCTATCGTCTGTCCTCCTGCCTGGCTCCGTCCTCCTCTGGGCTCGTGGAGCTCCTCTCACCATACCAGCCGTATCACACTTGTGTGGCTGCTTCCGGCAGGCAGCTGAGGACTGTGTCCAGGACACGCCCGTAGCGAGCATCTGGCTCAACCTGTGGGAGACACCAGGGTCTTCCTCCAGTCCGGTGGCTCTGAGAATGTGATTCGGTGTCTGTGTACCTCCTTTACTGTCATCTTGAACTGTCTGATGAAGAACATATCAACCGTGGACCAATTTAATACGAGACATGTCTTTCCAATGCCTGCCTTCCTGCCTGCATACAAACTAAGCCGGCCACCAACTTAGTCCACGGGTAAATGTTGCACTAGCACACAGCCTGGCCATTTAACAGACTGAAATAACGTAACAGGAGTGGAATAGTTTCCTTTTTTCTTAAAGGAGAAGGACCAAGGCCAGGCTTTGGAAAAGTGGACAGTTATCTGTTTTAATCTACAAAGTTTGGCAACATGGACAACTAAAAAGAAACCGTACATTGGACTGTTGTTAGCATGTTTTCCAAAGAGTCTGAGGAAGGACTAGCGATCATATAAACGATGGCTCAAAAACCAGTCAGCCATTAGCCAGAGCCCTGCCTGATAACTGAGTTTATGTTCAATGTCATTTGTCCTTTTAACATGAGGCATCCTACTTGCCCCCCTAAGGTTTCAGGTACTAAAAAGGGAAGCTAGGTGTTATGGTTTTGGGATCATTGTGAACCACTGAACTGTTAGAGCAGCAGAGACCGTAACTTAGTGTTTTCAACCACAGACTGACCAACATACATTCCACAATATCTGTCTGTGTGCGTGCGCTCACCACTTTTAGGCCAAATGTTTGTACGCTTGTGAGGTTTATTCTGTACGTCTGTTCACGGGTGAATGTAAGCGTGTCAGAGATTTTTAAAAAGAAGAAGAATGTGTGCGTGTCAGGGGCAGTTGTGTCCATGTACATTAATAACACAGAACTCCTATCGCAGGTAGGATGGCAGGTTTTTACCTCTAGAATATCATCTCTTTCTACAAACTGTTGTGCGCTGCAGCCATGACGCCACTATAATGCAGCACATTAATAAATAATGAAACGGTTTTAATGTCATGTATCTACAAAAAAACGAGCACTAGCCAACTGTATGCACACCTATTTGTAAATATGTGCAAGATATACTGAATGTTAAATGCACTGTATGGAGATTTATTTAAAAGCTGTGTTAAAATAATGAGTTGTATCCGTTGCAAACATATAGCCGTCAGTCTCTCGACAGGATCTGCAAATCTCTCCTGTCGTCAACGCTGTCCATGCGTCTTTAAATGTGGCGTAACAGCTAAGCTAGCTGTCTCGCATCTCTCTTATCATTCCAGCCATCGCTTAAATGTCATGAATCTTTTGTACATTTGTTGATAGCTCTGAGCCCTGGGTGAACTCCTCAGCCCAGGGGCTTTTTAATGTAAATGAGATTAAAGAGATCTAGTCTGAGGTCCAGGAGGCAGCTTGTCTGAAACTGTATGTGTGTAAGAGGTCAGTTTGGTTCAGTTGAGCTTTGCACTATTGTTATTATTACAATATGTACAGAGTTGGTAACAAATACAATCTGTTCGATGAAGTTTATGGGGAAAAAAAAAATAAAGATGCAAAGTATCCCATATTTTTGACACTTTTTAAATTGAGACAAAAAAAGAGGAATTAACTAAGCCTTGTAGTTGATTTGAAATGGAAAGAAAATGAAATACTTAAAAAATAAATCACACCGACTACTTTCGCTACATTGCTTTTATGGTATTCATATTTAATGGTTTTCATAGATGGTTATACTTTGGAGTTCAATGCCTTTGTTTTCTGCTTCTGAAAGACATTTTTAAAATATCGTAATATGTATTTTAAATCACAGTGGTAGGAAACCCAATTATTAAGGGCAAAACGTAAAACTATGCATCAATATTGATTCCTTCAACTATTTACCACAAGAGGTTCTTCAATCTGAGGCTGCGACTGCCGATTATTTTTTTACTATTAATGTTGCTAATGTTGTTGTTTTTATTTTTGTTATTGGTGGTTAAACATCATCCTCAGTTTACAGGTTGGCATCTTTCAATAACTTGTTTTGTCTGTCTTAGTATGTTAAGACAGACAGTAGACAGTGCTTAGTATTGTAATTCATGTGTGAATTCACCATAAGTCTGGTTCACAGTTTTGCTACAATTTCTAAATTTTTGGCGATAAGCCTCAGGAACTAACTTAAAGGCACGGAGAACAGTGGATTTTAATTTAATATCATGATCTAAACTCTGGTCAAGAGAAAGAGTGTAAGACACTTCCTGCGCTCTGCCTACTAGTTTACATTGTAACAATACACTCTACATGTCTTTTGCATAAAGCAAATGCAATATATTCAAATGCACAAAAGTAGGCCTCAACCTCTGTTTCACTAAAATGAGGGACAAGTGCCACATGTCTGCTGATGTCAAACATACACTGGGTGAAGGCAGAGTACGTCCTGAACAGACGCATGACAGACGACCAATAACGTAGAAATACATTTTGTTTATAAAATGTACATTCACATTTTTGTAGTTTGTTTAGACAGAAAATATCACTCGTACTGTAATTTCAAATAACAACTCGGAACCAGAGACGTCTATGACTGGAAATTTACTCAATTAAATATAAGGTTGTTTTTTTTTACAATTAAATAGCTATATATTTTCACTTTTTTTACTGTAAGCAAGATAATAACAACAAACACCAAACATGCTGTGATTCAGCATGTTTTCATCTGTCTTTAATCTACAGGTTACATTTCTAAAAACTGTAAATACAGATGATGTATCAACTCCTCTTCTACAAGTACAAACATAGGAAATAGTGAAACTACTGACTGATAAAACATGATTCTACATGCTCTGACCTACATGTCACTTATTGAGCAAAAGACATTCCTTCTCTCCAAACAGTTCATTGGCCGCAGCTCCCCCATCTTCGATATTGTCCCACAGTACATCCCGGGTGCTGGGCAGGCCGGCAGTTGTTCCCTCAGAGGCCTCCCGTTGACCCACAGCCACTCTCCTGCCAGGAAACGTAGACCTATCCACACCTCTGGCGTCTGGGCATCCATGATCGCTTTTATGGCATCCGAATTGTTGCCTACAAAGTCCATGTTTTGTAGATCAAAGCGATGTTTTCTGTTGCTTGAACTGGAGTCTGTCTCAAGAGACCTGCAGTGCTCCAGAGCCTCCTCCCATGTCTTGTTCTCTTTCACCAAGATTGAATTCTCGTAACATAGAAATGTTCGAGGGATATCACATGGAGAATCATACCAAACAGTCCCTCTCATAAAAACACAATTCTCTCGTCCCCCAATATCATTAGGTTCATTATATGCCCAGGGTGTAAAGTTGCTTTCCTCTCCATCAAACCACTTCCAGACATTATGATCATCTTCAGCTCTTTGGAGACCAATCCAACAGTCGCATTTGGGTAGACTCTGTGCATCAAATTCATTTTGAAAAGTAGCCAGGTCAGTGTGGTACTCCCTGCAGTACTTTTGGGCCAAAGACCAGGTCAATCGGACCACCACGTGAACATACCTTCTGTGTTGGTAAAAGGCCTGCTCGAACAGAGGGACGTTGAAGATGAAGATAAAGAGACATGTAGAGCTGCTCTTCATCAACATGATTCCACAGAGTTGACTTGACTTTGCCCTACGGCAAATTTGTCTTTCAGCGTCAAGATCTCAACACTGTGTTCTCGGTATAAAGTCCCTGCTTAAATACCTCTTTTTCTATGTGGGTTGTGCCAACTCAGTAAGACACATTAAGCAAATCACTAACACAAGTTTCCCAATGTAAGGAGCCTGGGACTCACTTGGCCAGTTCCACCGCCACTCCCCTGACGGCCCATAAGTCAAACTGACCAATTATATTGTCCACATTAACATGGGTGCGACGGCATCAGAACACACACAACACACAGGCTCATCCAGTGAAAACAGAATGACCCCTGTGATATCGCAAAGAATGATGTTAGATTCTTATTGCTGATGCTTTAACACGTAAGCAGCATTTTAATGTTATAGTTATTGAAGATGGAGATGACTAATTTGATAACATATTTACTGTTTATTGAACAATGCACTTCAAAATGCAATTCAAAACGACCCCAATGAAAAGCAGGGAAACCGGGGCACCCTCCCGGAGCCAGACCCAGGAGGGGAGCTCGTCGGCGAGCATCTGGTGGCCGGGCCTTCGCCCATGGGGCCCGGTCGGGCTCAGCCCGAATAAACAGCATGGAGCAGCCACCCTGTGGACCCACCACCCGCAGGGACAAGCATCGGGGTCGGGTGCAATGCAGACCGGACGGCGGGTCAGGCCTGGGCGAGCCGATCGCCAGCAGCATAGACTAGCTCTAGGGACGTGGAACGTCACTTCGCTAGCGGGGAAAGAGCCAGAGCTGGTGCAGGAGGTGGAGCGATACCAGCTAGATATAGTTGGACTCACCTCCACACACAGTGCTGGCTCTGGAACCAAGCTCCTGGAGAGAGGTTGGACTTTGTCCTTTTCCGGAGTTGCCCAGGGTGAGAGGCGCCGGGCGGGAGTGGGGATATTCACGAGCCCCCGGCTGAGCGCCGCTGTGTTGGAGTTCTCCCCGGAGAACGAGAGGGTCGCCTCCATGCGCCTACGGGTTGCGGGGAGCAAGGCTCTGACTGTGGTTTGTGCTTACGCACCAAACAGCAGTTCAGAGTATCCGGCCTTCTTGGAGTCGGTGGGAGGGGTCCTGGAAAGGGTGCCACCTACCGACTCCATAGTTCTCCTGGGGGACTTCAATGCTCACGTGGGCAATGATGGAGAAACCTGGCGGGGGGTGATTGGGAGGAACGGCTTGCCCGATCTGAACCCGAATGGTGTCTCGTTATTGGACTTCTGTGCTTGCCACGGTTTGGCCATAACGAACACCATGTTCGAACATAAGGTGGCTCATAAGTGTACCTGGTACCAGAACACCTTAGGCCGGAGATCAATGATCGACTTTGTAATCGTATCATTTGATTTGCGGCCGTATGTCTTGGACACTC